TGAAACGACACCAACAAAAATAATAAAAACAACAGCAAAAATATTGTCGCCGCTGTTGTTGTCATCATCATCATCATCATCACCATCACCGTCATAACCATTACCATTACCAACAACAACAACAACGACAACAGCAACAGCAACAGTAGTAGCAGCAGCAGCAGCAGCAGCAGCGCCAGAACGGAAGAACAGCAGCTACAACAACGACGACGACAACAACAACATCGCCATCAAAGTAATTAGCACCTTTTCAGATAAAAACTAACAATAAAAGATGAGAGGAAAAATCTTTGCTGACAGATTAAACAGTTCAGCTTATAAACTGTCCTATCACAGAACACTACTGTGATTACGAGCAAAAATTGAAAAGATCTGAAAAGTTGGAAACTGGATAATTGAGCAACATAAAAAAATTGCAACTAACCTGATCATTAATTGGCGGTGGAGTTGGAGCTAGGCCAAATGAACCGGTCAACGTCTGCTCACACATCCCTAAAATAAGAAAAAAAGCCAATATACGGAGCAGCAACCTTCCAACAAAATAACCCAGCACCAAACTAATCAATGCTCTCAACTACTGATATCCCGAACTGAACAACAACGCAGCGCAGATCACCTAATGCATATGGAGCGCGCAGTGACAATGAATGCAACAAGCGGTCCTCCCTTAAGGCTCCAGTCCCCAATTCAAACACATGCTTCCTCCAGTCTCGAATACTGATGACTGTCACGGCAGTAGCAGCAAAGGTAATGATGATACTTCTAATTGATGGTGGCCGTAATGGTGATAAGGTGACAGTGACAACAACAGTGGCAAAAGTGCCACTAACATCTATGGATTACGGTATTTTACAGTTCCCAGCCTCTCCTCCCTAAAACCATTCTTTCAAGAGCTGTCTATCCTTCCTTCTAATTCTCTAAAACAGTCCATAAAAGAAGCTGAAAGAGAACTTTGAGAGAACTCAGTTAGCTGGTTGAAATCATGAATGACAATGTTCTCAAAAACTTATCAAAAGGCCTGATGACAAAGAAATCTTCTACCTTCCCTCTCCCAACCAATTTGCTAAATTCTTTCTGAAAATAAAGAAGATAAGAAATTTGAAAAAAAGTTTATCAAAATTCAGGAAGAAGCTGTTTTTGTCGTTTCGAATTGTTTTATCGACTCTTAGGCAGTAATACATCAAAGTGAAGTGACCAAACAAGTGAATTTTCATTCACCTATCTATTATCCATCTATCTGTTTTCTGTTTATGTGTATTAATGTTTGCTGCTGTTTGCTTTTGTCATTGTTGTTGATCTGGTTACACAGTTTTTTTCTGTTATTCTTTTCTAATGTTAAACCTAGAACTCAAAAAATCAATCGGAAATTATACGATCAACGATTAACATCATCGTTAAGGCTTCAGGTGCACTTCATTGTGCCGCTTAATTGAGCAGCATTTAGTGACGACATCAACAGCAACAAAAAAATTTCATCCCCTCCTTCATCCATCTAACGTTAAGTTTAGGCAAAAATAAAAGTAGAAAAAAACTGGCGATAAATACCACGCCATTACCACCAAAAACAACAAATCCCCGTCAAGTGAAGTATAACAAGTCAGTAATGAAAGAAAAGGTCAAATTTTCCAAAATGCGACAAGCAATTAAAAAAGAAAAATAGAAAAGGAAATGAAGAGACAAAAGAAGAGAGCATAATCAGATACTGAAAAATTAAACGATATTTGGATTTTTTCATCCTTCTTCTTCCACCCCCCTAAATCTGTCTCAGCAAATCACAACAAAGGAAAAAAAGCAAGTAATTGTATCGAATAAAAGTTATAAGTGAAAAAAGAAAAAAAGGAAAAAATTACAACCGCTTTGCCGTAACACCAAAAATCCAATATCATTATTCAAAGTAAACTTCAACCCTTCAGATTCTTGTAAACATTAGAATCCAAAAAAAAGTGGATTCAGACATAAATAGATCAAAGGTACAGCAGAGCTGTTTTGCTGCACTGTAGCCGCCTCACCGGCACTAACGATGCCCATTTGGTGGCGGCGCCAATAGCATCAGTAACATACATCGGACATCTGTAGACAAATCATAAGGCGAAATAAAAAAGCTTATCTGTAAAGTGAATACAATACGAAAAAATGGGCAATTACCGTGTCACTGTATCAACAGCAATTTTGAAATTTGAAAAAATCTCAAAATTGTCACCACAGAGAAGCGAATGAATTTTGAACTTTTTTCAAAATAAGCCACCAATGTAAGAAATGCTATGATACTGTAAGTGCAGTGATCGGTCAACAAGCAGCGGTAATTTCC